CCCCCTCTGGGGATGGGCCCGCAACCCAGGTACCCGCCCTTCACTGGAATCAAGCCTGGGACCTTTCAGTCCGCAGGCCGACGCTCTATCCACTGAGCCAAACCGGTTTCGGCTAAAATTTCTTTATTAAATTATTATATATGTGTCCTGAAGTATTCAATTCTTTATTCTAGTTTCTAAAATATATATATATAAATATGGAAACAAATCTGTTTAGACTCAATCTTTATTTGCCCTGTAAGCTCCTGAATATTTAAAAAATATCCTATTGCACTATTTTCCCTGCTGGCAAAACTGAAGCTAGATAAAATATGAAAAATATCCTATTAAATACAAGAGTTGAGAATTAAGCTGAGTTTTATAAGTTCTTTTAAAATGCAAAAATGCAAAGTATATTGCAATAAAATGATTATCACTAGTTCAATGAAAAGTCACTTAACCATCTTCCACATAAAACATTATGGAAAACAATAATTCCCTAGAAAATATTTTATATTTCACTTGATGCAAAAGGAGAGATAAAACTGAGAAAAGAACTCAAACAGCACAATGATATGCAAAGGGCTTTATCACTAACTCTGCTTGGTGACCATGTCATTAGCTCAGTTTCTCTGGGTTTGATTTCTCCATCTGTAAAGTCAGTGAGTTGAACAAGATGACCTCTTAGGCTCTTTCAGTTAGTTCTACAGGTCTATCATTGTGACTCAAAGGATTATTGATTGTTTTCTTGGCTACTGCAGGGTAAGTCACAATTTTCAGTGAAAGGACTTTTCACTATTTTAGTCACATGTATGGAAATTACTGGCTAAAAATAAAAATTAACAAGAAAGATCTTTTATGCAAATATACTCAGAGTGTTCTAAGGCCAATAGATCATATGACAACACAGTTTCACTCATTCTGTCTATATTTTACAGGTTAATCTCCTAGCTACCCAAGGATAAATCACATGTACATCTGAAAACTAAAATGTTAAATTTTTCAAGGGCATAATTTTGTGTTCCAGGTCCTAGGTGTTTGCAAACATGCAGTGAACAAATGTCACCAACATTTTAGTTATGTCTTGTCAGGTTGCATGAGGCAGTGAAGAAAATTATCAAAATCTGTGCCCTAAGGGATGGCCATGGGCTGACCATCTAGCACCTAGCATCTAATCTGGTCAGTCAAAGGTAAAGATTAGTAAACTAATACTTGTAGAAAGATGACTATGGGTATAAGGAACTATAAAGAGTGCTTTCACATATTGAATATCAGGTCTATTTCACTGATGAGAACATTCAGACGTAAGAGATAAAATTGGCCAAAGTCACACAGCTAGAAAATAGTCAAGCCAGGATTTAAATTCAGGTCTTCAGACTTCCAGGCCCCTACCCTTAGCATTACATTATGTTGAAGTAAGATGATTATTTAAATGGTGACACAGCTACAGTGATCAAACTTTTAACTTTCAAGCATTGTACTGAGCAGGGGAAACTCCTCAGTGAAATAGAAAGAAATAAGGATGTCATTCTAGGATAGCACCTTCCAAAAGAATGTAAATTATTTACAAACTAGTCCATACAATTAAGGGCAATTCAGGAAGCTTTGGGCAAGTAAATACTTCCTACTTTTAGAACACTTTAAGGCTTAAAGTAATATGTATAATCAACAGGCACTATGAATCATAAGGCAAGTGAATGATGTTTCAGCTATAACAAACAAAGTGATGCTTTAAAAATAATGCCTTTTGGTGAAATAATTATCACAGTTGATATATGATTTGTATAAGTGCACATCAATGTGTATATATAGAAGCATGAATAAAAATAAGTGCATTATCTGGCTCACTATATGAATATGTAGAGAGTTTTAAAAACTTACCTTAGATGAGACTATCCTATTATCACAAAATCTTTGTGCAATGTAATCTTCTGCTACTGAAATTGGATGATTGCCAACAAACACCGTGCGTGTACCAACTCGTTTCTCTTCTCCAGCACACTGACCAAGAGAAAGAGGGGAAAAAAATGAGTTTTCTCTATCACATTTCTCCATGCTTCCACAGAGCTCAAAATACTAATCTAAGCATGTCTGACTATGGTCCAGAGAGAAAGAAACAGTAATAGAGAGAGGAGAAACCCGTGTTAGGAACGTCAAACTCCACTAAGCTCTTAGTTGTTGATTTAGTAAAAATGTTGCTTGAGCCAACTGTTCTCAGGCCAACACTGTAATTCTAAAATTAAATAAAGTATCCTAGGGAAACAATAATTTTTATTGTCAGTCATTTTTCTTTCATCCACAGAATCTCAACCATCACCATCAGAGCAACACACTAACTTAGGAAAGGTCAGACTGAAATATATAATTTTTACACAACTACTGACGACAACCTTGACATTACCCTTACCAGACAGCAGAAAACAGAATACAAATTACTTCTAAACACAAAATAATTAGTTATAAGAATACAGAAATACTAATGGAATCATCAACTATTTTAAGTTCTTTGGCTTTACAGCAAAGACATTCCGTTGTCATTTCTCAGGGACTACTGTCAAAAAGTCACATTTCACAAATTATATCTCTAATGTCCCTTTTACATTTTTAAAAATCAGATCTGCCGAATCTTTAAGTTCTAAGGTTGAACTCCATTTTACCTCAACCTTGTATTTCACTGAGGCTTCACTCTTTTCTTAATTTGGGATAACACATTTTCTTATATAAATTTGGGACCGTTTCCTTTGATGATACTTATATTATCACAAGAGGCCTGGTGCACAAAAACTTGTGCACTCGGGGGGAAGCGGGGGTTACTCAGCCTGACCTGTGCCCTCTCCCAGTCTGGGACCACTCAGGAGATAACGCCTTGCTGACTTAGGCCTGCTCCCGGGTGGCAGAGGGCAGGCCCAATCCCTAGGTGCAGCCCCTGGTCGGCTCAGAGCAAGGGCCGATTGGGGAGTTGGGGCGCCGCCCCCTGACATGCATAGATCAGGGCGGATCGGGAGGTTGTGATGCCAACCTCAGTCATGCTCAGGGAAGGGCTGATTGGGGGCTTGGGGCACCGCCCCCTGTCACACTCAAGGCAGGGGC